CCGTTTCTTTTTGAAAACGGCATGTTGGTGGGCATTGGAAGTGTTGAATTCGTTCACATACATACAAACATGAGGGGTAATAGGGTAATGGGGTAATGCATGTACTCTTGCGTTCTTGGGTTGTTCCATGGGTTCGATCATGTGGTGTTGTGTGGTAGAGGAGGGTAATAAGAGAGTAATGCGTAAAATAAGTTCTGATTACTCATTACTCATTACCCACCTTCAAGAGGTCCAGTTCTTTTCTAAACAGCATGTTGGGCATTCGAAGTGTTGAAATCTGTTCACATACATACAAACATGAGGGGTAATAGGGTAATGGGGTAATGCACTCTTGCGTTCTTGGATTGTTCCATGGGTTCGATCATGTGGTGTGTGTGTGTAAAAAGAGTAATGAAGGGGTAATGAGAAGATAGGTACTCGTTAATCATTAGCCGGTCGATCGCTCTTCTCTTCACGCGTCTCGATATGCCCATCACCATACCTCCTCAACCTCCACCCATGACCGTTTCCACAACACGAGCACGGGGCATCAACATCGAGCTCTTGAGGCTTTTCTAAATCACTACAAGGCTCGTTTGAAGCCGCAATCCATGGACCGTCTTTGTCCTCGTCATAATCAACTCGCTGCCAAGTATCAACCCATTCGATTGTCGAGCTCATCAGCTTGCCATCACGAAGCGCCTTGCAGATATCCCCTTGTGGGGGAAACCACCAACCCTTGTGCGTTCTCTTCCCCTGAATGGTACGCGCTTGTGCCCTCGTGTGAAAGACGCCTTTCAGGGAGCGCATCAAAACATTGACGTCGACATGGTGATCCTCTTTGATATCCATCTGTGCGCAGAAAGTGTCATAAGTGCGCTTGATATCCACAGATGCCACCCATGTCTCCAATTGCGGATGGAAGCACCCGTTCTCGAGCAGAGCTTGAACCAGCTGAACGTGCGGAGGGATCGAATGGTGTGACGGTTGGACAGGGTTTACACGCTGCCTGTCTACTTCACATGTGCGGAAACCATGCGAAGCTTTTCAGCACGCCTTGGGATCACCTCAGCAAGAGCGCCTCTCAAAAAATTGCGTCTTCTTGCCTTCTTCCCAAAGACTGATTAGTTAGGACTCACGAAGAGGCTCCATATTCAGTCAAGGACTCTCGAGACTCGCACCTCGCAAGGC